AGAGACGACCCTACAGGAGAGAGCAGACCCTAGAGGACAGAGACGACCCTACAGCATAGAGATGACCCTACAGCATAGAGACGACCCTACAAGACAGAGCCGACCTTACAGGACAGAGCCAACCCTACAGGACAGAGATGACCCTACAGGACAGAGCAGACTCTACCGGACAGAGATGACCCTACAGCATAGAGACGACCCTACAGCATAGAGATGACCCTACAGGACAGATATGATCCTACAGCATAGAGCCAACCCTACAGGACAGAGCAGACCCTACAGGACAGAGATGACCCTACAGGACAGAGACGACCCTACACGACAGAGGTGACCCTACAGCATAGAGCCGACCCTACAGGACAGAGCAGACCCTTCAGGACAGAGACGACCCTACAGGACAGAGACGACCCTATAGCATAGAGACAACCCTACAGGACAGAGCCGACCCTACAGGACAGAGACGACCCTAGAGCATGGAGATGATCCTACAGGAGAGAGATGACCCTACAGCATAGAGACGACCCTACAGGACAGAGACGACCCTATAGGACAGAGCCAACCACGTCTCATGATTTCTTTGTCAGAGCATGCCTACAGAGTGACTGGTACTCACACCCCCAGCCTTCTGGTCAGCAGCCCACCACTTGACCCACTCCACCACCAAGGCTCCACTCCAAACCACGATGGAAAATTGAGATCATGGTGAGGAGCGGACGGCAGCAGGTCTGACTTCCAGAAGTTTAACAGTGAATAAAGAAGAGGAAGAGAAAGTTACTTCAGCAAGTCATAGAGCCAGAGAAGGGTAGTTGGAGGATTTTTAGGAGACTTGCATACAAGAGTCTTAGAGAAAGTGCAGCCAGGGCGGTGCTCCTGAGAGGCCAGGAGGGGAAAATCTTCTCACATACTCTGAGCATCAGGAGGGCCCAGTTCTTGGACAGACATCCTGCTGGGAAAGGAAAGAGGAAGATCCCCAAGGCGATAGATTAACATAGTGACCATGACAATGGGCTTGAGCATATTGGAGATGGTAACGGTAGTGCAGGATAGAGCAGGGTTCAGATCTGTTGCTTAATAATATCGCTGTGGGTTGAAATCAACTCGATGGCACCTAACAACAACACAAACACAAGGAGGCTCCAGTGACATAACTGTTAAGTGCTCAACCACTAACAAGCAGGTGTACACTTGGAGCTAGACGTGCCTGGGAGCACAGGCATGGCAGTCTGCCTCCAGCCGGTCACATCCTTAGAAATTCCATGATGTGATTCTCTACACACCTGGGGTCACCGCGAGTGAGACTCAGTCTGATGAAAACACATACCTATTTACAGGTAAATGAGAGAAGATCGTAGGGAGGCAGCTGAAGATATTATATGCTGAGGAATAAGAACCAACTGACCCTTCAGTGGGTTTTCAAAGGCTTTAAGTTGCATGGGAGGAAGCTGCCCATCTTTCACCTGCAGAGCAGCTGGTGGATTCAAACCGCTTCCCTTTGGGTCAGCTCCTTACCGCTAAGGGAGAAAGGCAATCACTGAAGAATTAAGGGGCAAGAAAGGTGGGAAAAAGGGGTAAGGAGAAGCTTGGCCATGAAGAGGGTCGGTGCACTGAGAAATGTTCCCAGCTCTGTGCTAAGCTAAATGATGCATTTGTTGGAGTACTATACAACTTTCCTCAAAACAGAAATTCCCCACCCCCCGAAGAGGAGAGGTCTCGAAACCAGAGAAGACTCCATTGTGTTCACACGCAAGCTCTGTTATTTCTGGGGTCTTCCCTTCTGCTGGGGCCCTGACACACAACTTTCACATACTCCTAACCAGAGTGTCAACTTTCCTGAGGGCCCGCGTTTTCCAGTGAGCCTTACAGCACCAACATGTTCTAGATTGCCCCATGATTCTGTCCCCAGCCCCTCATCTAGTGGTGCAATCCTTTGTCTCTTTGGGTTGGGAAGGACACCATCACATCCTTCCCTGGGATTTCACAGGCTGGTCATCCCCAGAGTAGCCAGAGGTGCTACCTGCATGTCCAGAGGCCCGCAGAGATGCTGTGACGCTGTTATTTAAGCTATTGGTGCTGCCATCTCCCGCGGCCAACAGCTTAAGAATGTTCTAGATTACTAGCCAGCACCTCTTACCAGCTTCATGCTCCCACTGATAAAATGGGTCAAAGACGGCTGGGAATAAGAATGTGGCCTGGGAGGGTGTTCTTCATGGGGAGAGCTCCCTTTTAAATGCCTCTCCCCACCCTCCAACCTGGCTTCCACCCACCACACAGACCACTGGGTGTTGCCCCCACTTCAAAGGGCATCCCATAGGTGAAAAAAAACCACCAAAAACCAACCCGGCAGGGAGAGGCACAGCTGGGATCAGGTTGTCATAAATCTAAGAAGTAACGTTTTCTGGCGTTTTCAGTTGTCAGTCATTTCCAAATATGTGTATGGAGTGGATATTCCAGTTTTGTGTGTTTTCAAAAACCTTCTAAAGGACTGTGCAGTCCTTTACATCCTGACATGCTGCGTTTCATGTTAAAAAGCCATCAAGTTTAACTTGAAACTACAAGGAGTAAAGGCTAGGGTTCACGCAAGTCCAGGCAAATTGCCTGGCTGCACCATGCTTTGCCAGGGAGGGGTGACCCCGCAGGGCTGGTTCTCTGTGCCCAGTGAGGGCCAGCAACCCCCTAAATGCACACTGCCATACACAGTGAGCCTCAGGAAAGAAATGAAAGCAGCTTTGTAAAAAAATGTCACTGCCCATTTGGCAACAGAACTCATCTTTGGAATAACATGCTGTTGTGTGAGTCTCTACAAACAAGTGTCCCGAGATCGTTTTCTACAAGATATGCTCTCTGCCAGCCAAAGGCATGTGGTTCAAATCCGCTAGCTTCTATGAGGGAGAAAGATGGGCACTGTCCTGCAGTGTCATCTACAGCCTCTGAAAACCAACTGGAGAGTCAGCTGTGAGTCGATTCCAACTCAATGCACACAACAACATGTTGTCATTAAGGAGCCCTGATAGAGAGCAGTGACTAAGCTAACCAAAAGAAGGTTAAGGAAAAAATGATAGACTGGGACTCCAGAAATCCTCTTTCTGGAAAATGTCCTTCCCTTACCCCATCCTTACTTTGTAACCTGGCTTATAATGGGCCCCCCATTTTTGTAGCACACTTTTAAAAAACAATTATAACCTGGTCCAATCTTTCTAGGGCCTGGATCTGCTTACACAGCAGAAAGAACAAAGCCACCAACTTTTACATAGCCCAGCTAATCATGGAAGTGTGTCCTGGCTTCAAATAACTTGAGTTTTAATTTTTTTTTCCTTCTCAGAGTAATGTAAAGTTAAAATGGGAAAAGATATTTAATATTTAATACTAAGCTTAAAAAAATTCCTGCTATCATTGCTATGTATCTTGATGTGAGGACTATGATGATAATAAAAGAAAGTATAAAAATTTTAAAAAAAGTTCCTATCTATCTGGAGAAAGGCTCGTGATGTGTTCCTGTAAAGATTACAGCCTGGGAGACTGTGGGGAGAGTCTGCTTTGCCCTCCAGGGTCTCTCTTGTTGAGTACTGTTGAGCCAGAACCAACCCATGGCTGACCCTCCAGTGGTTTTAAGTTGCAGTAATTCACACAGGAGTCAGTTGTCCATTTTCCTCACACAGAGCAAGCAGCTGGTGCATTAGAACTGTATACCTGTATGTTGGCAACTCCTTATGAGAGCTTCTGGGAGTCAGAATTGCCCAGAGGACACATCGCCACATTGTCGTGACATTGATGCTCTTGACCGTTCAGATCCCTGGGTGGCATCACCACCCTGCTGTCTTGACATTGAGGCTATTGACCATTCTTGGTGGCAGCATCTGTCCTCCTTCACTGTCCTAACGGTTGACACTTCCCCATGTGCCAACCACAGGGCCATGGAAGAAAGACCCGACAGTTTGCTTCCTTAAAGATGACTGGTAAGAAACCCTGTGGAGCTGTTCTCCATCACCCACGGGCCATCGCTCCATGAATCAGGTGACTCTGCAGGTCTCCTCTGCCAAACACACGGTCATCACTCCATGAGGCGGTGGTGACTCTGCAGCATGACACCAGCAGGTCGGATTTGGGTTGGTGTTGACTATTCAGAAGAGTAAAGGTGATGGGGGGAAACAGCAGAACTTAAGCCTCTGGTTGACGTGTCGGGATATTTTGTTTCTCCCTGCAGAGTTAAACGAAGATGTCTTCTGTAAAGAAAACTGCACGTGCCCCTCGTGCTCGCTTCGGGCCCCCAACATAAGTGACTTGCTGAATGACCAGGACGTTTTAGACGTGATCCGGATAAAGCTAGACCCGTGTCACCCGACGGTAAAGAACTGGAGGAATTTTGCAAGCAAGTGGGGCATGCCCTATGATGAGTTATGCTTCCTGGAGCAGAGGCCACAGAGCCCCACCTTGGAGTTCCTGCTCCGGAACAGTCAGAGGACGGTGGACCAGCTGATGGACCTCTGCAGGCTCTACCACCGGGTCGATGTGGAGAAGGTCCTGCGGAGGTGGGTGGAGGAAGAGTGGCCCCAGAGAGCCCTGGGGGACCACTCCCAGCACTTCTAGAGCCTTCCTCCTTCCTTTTCAGCCTATGGACACTGAAACCCTGCTGGGTCAAGGAGTTTTCCTTGTTGCCAGTTGAGGATAAGAACATGGGACAGACGACCTTTGTTTTTCCCAAGCAGGTGGCTTTGTGGAGGGTACGCTGCGATTTGGTGGTGGATTTTTGCTTGGTTTTGCACATCTGTGTTTATTTAATATCTGAATCTGCAATTTAGGGAGCAATGTTTGGTCAGCTTGCATAGGAGCCAAAGCTTACAATCAGAATGGAGCCAGGCCATTATGAACATGGAATGATCCTCTCTCTTAAGGACTATTGAAGATTTAAACAAAATGGGGCCTAGAATTGTTGATGATCCCTGAACAAGCACCATTCTCAAACCCTCCCTAATCAATTGGTCTTCCCCCACTTGGAAGGAAACAGCACAGAGCACCTCTTTGTTGCTTTTCGTTGTTTTAAAAGCAGCAGCTCTGGTGGTATAGTGGGTTACATATTGGGCTGTTAACAGGTCAGCAGATCAAATTCACCTGCTGCTCCAAGCAGAGAAGCTGGGAAGTCACCTCACATAAGGATTTACAGCCTCATAAACCTGATGGAGGGTTTCCCTGAGCTGGAATGGGCTTGATGATAGTGGATTTGTTATGAGATGATGAACAAGATAATAGTAATTACCTTTATAACATACATGCCAACTTTCTATTCAGATGCTTTTATAATCTGTATGTTGTTGTTGTTGTTATGTGCCGTCGAGTCTCCTGTGACTCATAGCGACCCTATGTACAACAGCCCTAAACTCCGCTCTGTCCTGTGCCAATCGCACTGTCTCTGACACTCCCATTCCAATT